CTTTAGCTTCCTAGTGCTGTGCTTTAACCCGTTACACCAGGGACGGCCCGGTTTCTACTTTTATAACTACTTTGTTAAGATAGAAAGTAGACATCATTCACTTCACCCATTTGATGTGTAAGATTCCACGATTTTTACTATATTGAGTACCATTCACCATTACTACAATACGTTTTAGAAATTTTTCATCATCCCGAGAGAAGAGACTCATTTGTTTTATCTCTTGGTAGTGTGCATAGTTACAACCAGATCTCTAGGCTGATAATAGTCTCAATTTGGCTTACGTCCTGCTGCAGTAAGCCGTGTTGTCCACGAGGGGGCGATGTCACTCCACGAAGTACTGGGATCTAGGCTGGGAAAAGAAAGGGGACAGGCGGTGGGGAGCTTACAGCCGGGAAGAAAGAATGATATGGGCTCTTTCTTGGACGCTTCCCATTTTGCTCTGCAGTCTCCCTGTTATGCTAAAACTGGGAGAACATCAGACCAATGGATTAGTAATTTTGAGAGGGGCGCCTGGTCAACCCCGGTGGGTTGAAGGGTCCATCCTGACTGACCTTCTTTGCCCAGTCAGTGTGACACATCAACCCGTACCTGGAAAGTTAGCCAACTCCTGATCTAGAGCAGCACTGCTCCACAGGACACAGTGTCATTTCGAGTACAGTGAATCTTGACTTTTCCAAGATTTGATTGCTGAACATCCACTAATTCTGTCAATTGACCTAACGTTGATTTCAGGCTCTATTAACACTTTAAAAAATATAACTGTAAGCTCTAAGTTACTACGGCGGATTCCCTTCCAGTGCTGCTCTAATCCCATAACATATTCTGGTACATTTAATTCTCAGTACTAGTTGAGCTCCCATCTGACAAAGGAGTAAACTGCAGTCTAGAGAAGTTACTCGTCAAAGTCACAGAGTGAATACGTGGCAGAATCAAGATTCGAAGCCAAATGGCTCTGTAGTAGCATCCATGCTCCTAACATTAAAACACGGCATTTATTTCCCTTTTCCTGAGCGCTCCATGTGTGGGCCAGACGCTGAAAAAACAGCGTTGGTCGGTTTAGTTGGTTTACGACTTGCTGCAGTAAGCGGCTCTGCCCACCAGAGGGCGGTGTTACTCCATGATGTACCCAGGCACCATCAGGCTTTAGCACAAATCTTGGGGGACTGAAAATAACAGTTTAGCTGGTGTTTTCCTGTCCAAAAAGAGGGCAAGTGTAGAAGGAAGGAAAATAGCTCATTGGGGAGAATGTGCAGGGATGGCCTCTTACAACCTCAGTGAAAACACGTGGAATCCACAGCCGGAGTTCTCAGTACTACAACCATGCTACTTCCATGACAGAGAACGAGGACCAAAAAAAGGGGTGCAGGGGAGACGACCATAAACAATAATTCTTCTCAGTTTTTCCCAGGCCTCTGACTTGACGTTGCAGTCACTGTTACTACCCTGAGCTGTATTGCTTGTCATGGAGACCGGCCGCTGGTCACGAGTAGACGGGCCGCTGGTCACGAGCAGTCTTCCTGCCCTCAGAGAGCCTCCCAGCCCTCAGCTGTTTATTTTTTATTTTCTGCAGCACTGAGGTCGCCTAGCTTGTCTGTACCCTGAAATACAGAACTTGCTATTCGAGCAGGAACAAAGTGATCAGTCAGCTCCCTCCCTCCCACTGAGGTTATTGGCAGACTAGTCAACCTGTCCCTCCGGGGTGACCCATGTGGACTCCCTGTACAGCAGGAGGCCGGAAGGACACACCACGCGCGGCTCTGTGCCGCGCAGGGATGCGAGGCTGCCTGGGATCTCTTGGCGGGTGGTGTTGAGATCAGTAAAACCACAGTAACCCCGGGCAAGTGCTTGCTCAGCACTTGGCCACTAGAGGGCACCCAACCAACATCTGCTTCATGATGCTGACCAGCGGGACCCAGAGCCAGAATCCAGCGACTTGCCACGGCCCGCGAGCACCGGTACTTTTAATTCTCCGTTACCAGAGACTGGCTTACTGTAGAAGGATCGTCCCACTGAATATAGAATTCCTCATATATATCTTTTCTTTCGGTCTTGAAAACGGTGTCGCTTTTCTTCTGGCCTCCATGGCATAATCTGAGAAAACCATTGTCATTTAAATGTCACCCATCCTCGCCACCTGAGCATTTTGAAGATTTTTCTTTTTCTTTAGTTGTCAGAAATTTAATTATGATCTACCCAGCCTCTTGAACCTACAAGTGCGGTTCCTTTGTTGAATTGGGGCCTCTATTGAATTGGGGACCATTTCTCCACATGCGCCAGGCTCTCCTTTCGTCGTCTCCATTTTGGACACACTGACACAAATGTTGTTTCTTCCTGTCATTGCCCTGCAGGCTCAGAGGCTTCTCACTTGGCAACTGTTTTGTCTGTATTGCTCAGCTTCTGATTCTGTTGCTCACCCTCACGGTCAAGCTTCCCTCCTTTCTCCACTCTGCTACAGGGCCTCCTGTGAAATTTATTGCTGTTTTATCCTTTTTAGCTCAGTAATTTCCGTGTGGTTATTCCTCATGCTCTCTATTCCTTGCTATGGATGTTTGGTTTTTCGCTCCAGAATTCAACATTTGCTTGCTTCACAGGGCAGATCCAAACCACTGATTCGCCGTGATGTTCTCTGTTGACAGTCCTTCCCCATTCCTACCTGAATGTCTGACACCTAATGTGATGTGGGGTGATTTCCTATTCTACCGTGGGTATTTGGGCTACTCTGTTCTATTTAGACCACACCGGTGAGCAGCAGTGGCCTGTTTAGGTGTGGAATCTGGTCCAGGTTGTGCTTCAATAGACCGATCAACCTGAGAGATGATCCTTGTTACGTTGGCTACATGGTGGTGCTTTGGTGCTTGGAGGCTCCGGGGATTCCTGGCATGGGCTGCCTGAGGTTCTGAGGGGCCGAGGGGAACTCCGGGAGGAAGGGGGCCATCTCTAAAGGGGCTTCCCTGGGCCAGCACTGCTGTGAGAGACAGTGCCGCCTGGGCAGGACACCCTGGCAGGCACTGCTCTCCCCACTCCACTGGCATCTCTAGAATGCAGTGCGTTGTCGCAGACTGGCTCAGGTAGACACCCCTTTACAGGCAGTGGGCTTTAGGGGACCCCACCCCTGCCCCATCGTTGTCTCCCTCTAGGCTTAGCACTGAGGCATCAGAGGACATAGGAACTTTAAGGCATTTTCTGCTGGACCATCTCTGATTACCAATTCAACAGTCCTGCTGCCCAAATGTGTAGATCGGCAGCCCCATAGGAGGGAATGTCCCTTCCCTGTTTGAGCCAGCCCCCATGACCCGGGAACTCCATCTGTATACCATGACCCCTGCCCGCACACCAGAGAGGCTCATCCCGCATCCCTGACCTTACACACTCTCAGCAGACAAGACTCCATGTTGAATGTACAGAACCAAGGTCCCAGGAGGGCAGGGCAAAGCTCCCTTCAGTAATAGACCCAGGGTCCCAAAAGGCAGGCCCAAGACCCATCACTGACAGAGCTATTACTCCAAGCGGAGAAGCCTGGGGCTCCACAACCAAGCGGTCCTAGAGCCAGCACCCAGAGGCCTTGGGTGACTGGCCGGTGAGTAGCTTAGCCCCAGATAGGACTGCCATGAGGCATGGCTCTGGTCTAAGTCTCCGGAGAAACATGTGTGCAAGTCAAAGCTGTTTTTGAAAAGGGCACTCGTTTGCCCATGGGCCCACAGGCCGAGGCTGGGGCCCAGTGGGAGTCCTATCCTCCACCCCCCGACCGCTGTCCACTTTCTGGCACCCAGTTCAACTCTACCTTCCCAGTATGAAGGAAGACAAAGGGACACCCGGAGTCTCACCTAAGAGCACGGGAAGGGCCCTGAACAGGGCCACCAGGTGCAGTGGCAGGCGGGCCGTGGGCAGCTATTTGCAAGGTTAGTTGTGTCCAGGACTGAAACGGGCCCAACTGTGTTTCTTTCCCAACCTGGAGCTAATGTGGTGAAGACTCAGCATAGCACAGCCCAGCGACATCCACTCCTGGAGGCCGAGTGTCAGACACAGCAGGGTGCGTGTAGCGGCCACCTGTGCTCACCGGTGACAGCTGCTCCATCATTAGGCTGCAGCGGGAAAGGGGAGGCAGAGACCTGTACCTCCATCACCTAATGAGGTTAGGCAGACCCAAGAAGGCAGAAAGCCAGCATGATGACCTGCCAGGTTGGGGGTGACTCCGATACCCCAGAAAAGCCAGGAGAGTAATGTTAGGTCTGTCATCGGCTTCTGTTGATGACATAGGCAATTCCACCTGCTTCTTTCGGGTACTGCACTTCATTTTAGACACTTGGAAAGTTCCACTTGGGGTTGTCCATTAAAAATGGATCATATCGGCCCTCCCTGGTGGTGCAGTGGGTTAAAGCACTGCACTAATAAGCTTAAGCCACTTCCACATGAGTTCGATCCCCGCCTGCCCCGGAGGTGACCACATGGCGCGGCAGACCTCTCCTGACCCGCCCGCTGCTCCCCTCAGCAGTGTACTTCGTAGATCTGCCTGTTCTGCTCCCCACTCTGTCTCTGGTGAATCCTCTCACCTCCGCATCTCTGGCCTGTACCCCAATTCTGTATGAATAAATAAATCTTAAAAAAAAAAAAAAAGGATCAGCGCTATGTGTTCAGCGCTATTTTAGCATAATTAAAATCACCCAATACAGTTGTCAAAGATCTGGGCAGAAAACTTAAAACGCATTCCTAAAGGCAAAACAGACATAAATCAATACCTGCATCCAGTGACCCATTAACAATTTCCTTCCGTCTCCAAAATAAACAGACACACACATGCACAGACACAACGGTACATACAGACGTAAGTATGTGCACATGTACCCAGACACAAGACGCGTGCAGACAATGCACTCGCACGTGTGCACACAAACACAGGTGTGTGTCGGCTACATGTGTACACACGCACACACGGGCATGTACACAACAAACACCCTCTGTGCACGCCCATCTAACACAACCACACCTGCTAGCAAGGCTTCCCAAGCTTATGATTTTATTATACTCTGAATAGAGATGATATTTAAAAGCAGAGAATGACTATACAAAGGATTTATAGAACATTCATTTACATACCGGATATAGTCTTTACAATATAAGAAAAGTAAAAATACGCACTCATATAAGGCAGTTCAGGAGACTTATCAAGTCTCTGAAATACGCAGAACCCCTAAATGTGGTGGCTTAACATGGCTATAGGTTAACACTGGAGGAACACAGCGTACAATGAGTGAGCAGGTTACTGAGGCCGTGGCGGTGACCCTGGGTAGAGCCCTCGTGACCTCCCAGAAGCAATTCTGTGCCTGCTGTGCCAGGGACCAGGTGCCTAGAGAAGGCTTCTTTGCCCAGAGCCGGTACTGGGAGGGGCCCACCAGCATTCTGAGGCCATGAACTCATCTTGTTCCTTGTAATGCACATGGACATGTGTCATACCAGTTATCAAACAGGAAAATTGTCTCCCTTCAGGTCTCCAGAGGGAGTCGTTTGCTTGGGGGAAACTTCCTGATACCCTTCAGCACTGAAGGGAGAGGCCACAGCTGGACACAGCCAAGGGCACTGATGTCCCCCAATTCTGGCAGTCTATAGATCTCGGTCCCTTTCTCTCTCTTGTTCTAATCAGTTACTAAGACCCTCTCGTCCTATCCCAGAACAAGTAAGGCCTGGCCTGGGTCCTTGGGTGATATAAGCCTTCCAGGAAGAGGTGCTTCTTGGGACAGTACAAACCCATGCGGCCCTCAACCAGATGCCTTCTGTGACATAAACAGAAATGCTAGAAGTCTCCTCCAAGGACCAGGACATCAGGCCTCCGGGAGATGGAGATGTCTGAACATTCTCTTTTAACAGCCACGCCAGCAAGTGTCTGGGAAGAAGATCGAGAAGGTCAAGAAGACCAAGGCAAATGTTTGGCACAGAAACGAGGCACTTGTGTTGGGTGCATCAAGAGGAGCTCAGCAGCGGCTTTGACTGCCCGCTTGTCCACATGTACATACACCACACACTGAGATCAGGCTGAGTCTACCTCTGCCCCACTTTAAACCAAACATCACCATGCACTGTGATCACCCAGAAGAAGGTGATTCCTGGGGAATCTAAGCACTGGTGCTTGACTTGGGAAGTAGAGAGCGGGCAGTCCAGGTGGATGGGCACTGGACAATGGGCAGGGACACCCACCCTGGGTTTATTACACTGGAAACTTGCAGGACTATCAGCTTCTCCCGATCTCTGGCAACTGGTAGAGCTGGGCCAAGAGACCACGCCACTGGGTGTCCATATAAGCATAAGCCTGATTAGGTGGCTAGAGCAATGCAGAAAAGTGGCACTTAAAAATAGCTTGTAACGACTGCGATTCATTCTTTCTCCTTTACCCGCCCCCCCCTTTGCTCCAGGATGCTGGAAGCATGTGGCTTCCCAGTAGAAGCCAACAGGTGGGAGGATGGGCAGAAGGGCAAGAGCTTACAAAGGTCAGTTTCTCTTGGCAACCTCCGCCAGACCCTACGATGACCAGTAAGCACTGATGACATGCTGGGAACTAAACTCAAATATTCCTTACTCCACTAGAACCTTCCTCATCCGAAAGGAAGACACGCACAATCTGGCAATCACCTCATGCAGCTGGATGCACCTCCTAAAACCCTGGCGTTGCCGATGCAACAGGGGCACCGTAGTGCCAATGCACAAGGCAGTATAGTACTGGTGGCCTGTTATAAATAATTTGGCCTAAGTAAAATATAAATTATATGGAAACAGCACTTTACTTTCAGTCAGTTGCTTTCCCTTTCCTGCCAGTTCACTACCCAGAGCCTGTGAGAGTGGGGACGAGGACTGTCACCACACTGGTGGGCTCTCTGGATGCCCCCCTCATGGCTGAGTGACCTCCGTGTCCTCACAGCCCATCTCTTCCTCTCCTCATCCATGCCCCTCTGTTCCAGAAGAGCCAGACCTGCTCAAACCTTCCTCCAACGTGCATCCTCTTCTCAGGCACGCCAACATGTTTTGGAAACAGGCTGCCTCGGGGCATCGGCTGGACAGAGCCCGCGGTGAAGGCATGGGAATGGGGACTGGGGCTGTGGTCAGCACCCTGCATCCCCGACTGTACTCAAGTCAGAACAGAGTGGGCTGGGCACCCCCTTCCCATGAAGTTTCAGGAACACTAGCTTCAATCCTGCAAGGTCTCTCAAGCACAGAACCGGGGCACAGGTACTTGGCACCTGGTTTCTTCCATATGGAAATGCTTGGCTACAAAGTGTGTCCATGAGCAGTTTTTTCTGGAAAGGCTAGCTGGTGACAAGGTTACTTGTTCAGTGTCTGTATAGTTGAAGGAGCCCTTTCCCTGTGGGGAAGCGCATGGGGCCGAAGGTCGCCGTCACAGTCTGCGATACAGCAGGGCCAATCAGCTCCTCTTAGGGTCTCCAGGCGGTGAGGTTTACATCTTCTTAGGGGAGCCAATCATGACCTTTGACACGAAGTTGACAATGGCTCTGGAGGGCTGATCGGGGTCGTGCCCCGCAAAAAGGTGGCACACGTTGTCAGTGGCGCTGCCCTGCTTCCGGGCCACAAATCCAAAGACTCTACAAAAAAGTGGTCAGGGTCAGAACACAGTGGTCCACAAAGCCTCGTGTGCCCTGCAAACTGCTTCCTCTGCCCCTGCCACTTCCAGCAGCTTGTCCCAGTCTGCTCCTCCTCTCTCCTGCCTTCATAGACCTGCCGGGAAGATGCTCTTGCTCCCACTTTGAAGGGGAGGCGTCTGAAGGTGGAAAGGGTGGGTGTCTGGCTCAGTGCCAGGTCTGGGAGCTGAGTCAAAACCGCTTCTCCATACCTGGCTGGAGCCCTCTGGACTTGCCAGGTCAGGTGCCTAAAACCTGCTCTTGCGCTCATCTCTGAGGGCCTGAGTGAATCAGGTGAGGACACCACTCAGCCTGGGAGCCGGCCTGTGCTTGCCTGCAACTCAGATCAGGTGGAAGCACTGATCTCGAGGAGGGTAATGACCCTAGTGGGTGCCTGGCTGGTGCGGGAACTGCCTACCTCACACGATGTCCACGCTGCCTTCCCAGAGGCACAGCTACCAATGATGGCCGGGCCCTCTTCTCAGACCACACAGCCTGCGTTATAAAATGCTTGTTCTGCCATGCCAGGTGGGTCAACTCAGTAGGCCATCGTGGTGAGACTTAACCCCCAGGCCACCGGGGAGGGCCCGGTGACTCTTCTTAAAAGAATTAAAACCATTATCTGAACAGGATTTCAGGAGTCCTGAACTTGGAAACAATATGCAACTCCAGACCCCTGGTAAAGGGCTTTCTTCTCCTTTTTAGAAAAACAAAGGATTTTTTGTTTGTTTAAGCTTCGTAGTTTCCACACTGTAAGAAGGGACTGGCCAGTCTTACTAAAGTAAGCAGACGGGGTGGCACCTTCTATGTAGCTGGGAGTGCTGTCCGCACCCCCGAGAGGAGGCATGTGCCTACCTCAGCAGCCAGAGGCGGCCTCCAGCACTATATCCAGAGATGGAGAATTTTAGCACAAACTTTGAGACAAACAAATCCGAAATGAGATTCTAAGAAGCTATGCCTGTAATTGAACATTTGTGGGAATGCAATCTAGGTCTTGCAGAGAAACCAGCCTGGAGGGTTCTGAAGTGAATTGTTCCTGGCATTTGACCAACACCACAACGCCCACTTCAGTCCTGCTCACACACACAGGAAGCCCTTCTCCAGTGCCCTGACCTCCGGCTATCACAGTGGTTCTCAAAAGCTGTGCAACGTGCTTTGTGTTATTTATTCCACGCTTTAGAGCTCAAATGGAATTCTGTACTCAGAGAAAAGCAAGCATTGGAGCTGACCCTATCCAAGCCCTTTCCACACAAAGAACACATTTCTGCTTTTAAAGCCGATCCCAAACCCAGGTAGACATTTCCTGATGAGGACTCCTGCTTGTCGATCTGGACGAGAATTCAACTCCAGTCTGTGACTGTGAACTGAGAAGGCAGATACATCTGCCCACTTACTTGGAGCAAGGGTCGTCTGTGATCCACCTTGAGAATCAAAGAAAAAGAAATTATGTCAATGTTTTATTAACTTACAGTGTAAGAGGAAGTACATGTATTGTTTAGTAAAATCTCAGCTTTCTTACTTCCTGTCCTGTGGGTCCAACGCGCAGAAAATCACGCTGCTCACTGGGTAGTGTCTTCGAAAGAAGAGCCTGGGAGGGACACGGGAGGACAGGTCTGTTACTGCTACTTGGGGAGACACTGATGGCCCCGGTGGGCACCCCCATCTGGAGGCCCAGGGGCAGACATCTGTTTTCAGCTCTTACTAAGTCATTCGGAGGGAAGGTCATGGCGTGTACTCGTGAGCAACCCACAGACATGAAGCTGGGCAGGGTAGTTCTCAAGAAACTACCATTGTCTCTCAGTATGAAACAAGTCTCAGGCTGCAGGGTGTGATGTTGCACGGACCAGGGGGAGGAGCCCTGTCCACTGGGGTGCATGCAGTGGCCACCAGGACTTCCGCCATCCTCCTGAGGGAGCCACCACTGTTTCTCTCCAGCCCTACGCTTCTGCCCATCATAAGCACATTTGGTGCACTTCCCCCAACTCACAGGCGCCTCCTAAACATGATGAGGGCTCTGAGCAGGTTATATCCACCAGGAAGAGCAGCTAGGCTTGGACCACAAAATTAGGCACATGGACACCACCTGTCCTCATCCAGTCCACAAAGTGGAGTTGTGGTCTTGCCTGCCAGCCCTGTTCTTCGAGAAGCATCCACACCAGACCCCTCATCCTGCTGGGCCTGTCCCTTCTCCTCCTGGGCACAGTGCTGAGAGGTGTCTCCCAGTGCTGGTGGCTTTGCCCCCGGTGCAGGGGGAACACTCATGAGGAGATGGGGAGAAAAGCCAGTACACCAGAAAGGGACAGGAGAGCCTGGACGTCTATTCACCCAGGGCCCTCTGAGGCTGGGGTGCCTTCCTGGTGACTTGCTAAAGCTCGTGTCTTGCGACCAGAACCCTCCCGTGTCCAGCATCACATGGCCAAAATTCAAATTGTGTCCCTTGCAATAGGAAAGATTCTGAGTGATGCAGACATGACCCATGACCAGATTTACCAGGGCACCGGGAAGATGGGGAGATTTAGAAAACACACCTAGCAGTGGAGCCAACAGAGGCTGTGAAGAAATGAGAGGTTTCCTGCCTCAACCCTGTGGTCACTGCACAACCCTCTAGAGGGTCACTGCAGGGCTGAGCCACGTAGGGTACCTGTAGCTCAGCCTTGATCCAAAATTCCAAGATTAGGACTTTGGTGAAAGTTGAACAAAGAGGGAACCAAGCATTCAGAGGGGAGGACTTGCACATAAACACCCTGCCCGCAAATTTCAGGGTTCATGATCTAAGGTACAATGTTCAAGTCCCATATCCCCTTTCTTTGCTGGCCAAGGTCATAAGTAAGCCTCCTCCCTTCCTCACCCCCACACCCCCCCCCCCCCCCCCCCACCCCCCACCAGCTTCATCCTGGAAGCAGGGGCAGAAGGTTCTGCTCTGAGCACCAGCCCACAGGGGGTAGCGTGAGGTTGGGGGGGGGGGGGGAAGAGATGGTCCCAGGATTCTGCCATCACTCTATCTTCATGTGCAATGATCTGGTCTTATCATACTAGGCTGTTTCCATAACAAGTAAATAGTAATTGCAGCTGAAATGTTTGTGATCCTGAGGTTAAAGCCTCTGCCACTGGGAGAAATACATTATGTGCTTCTGGTGGCTTATTTAAAACTGACTCTGACAATTGTGCTGATGTGCTATCATATATTATGTAATATCAGTTAGTAATTAATATGACCTTGATATTGAAAGTGTCTTTCAAGGCCACACTCATCTAAAATGGGATGACTCCCAATATCATTCAAATTAATGACAGTGAAGAAATGATAAGTGAATTCTACCATAGCTCCTGAGTCCCCAACTTAAACAATATTTCGCTGTTCAAAACTGCATATAATTATACATCCTATAATCTATACATAACTACATTCAAAGTTCAAAAGACCTTCTTTTTAAAAGTTTTACTGATTCCTTAGGAACAAAAGTCTTCAGGTTTTACTTGGATCCTGGACCACATTTGATGACAGGAAGAAGTGTGGACTGATACTGGGTTACAATTATTTCTGAGGACTCAGCCCCTGCCCAGGGCACAGTTTGGGTGATGAGCAGCTGGTGTGTGACTGAAACCCACCCCCGCTCAGCCCGAGCCTGGCATACTCACTTCCTCTGATTGTCCGTCAGAGTGATGCCCTGGGCTGACACCTTGAAGTGCACCAGGGTGGACGAGGGTGGAGGATCCTGAACCAGCGTGAGGCTCAGGGCCTTCTGCACAGCTTGGTGGCCCGTGAGAGACTCCATCTCCACAGAGTTCAGATACCACACGTTGCAGGCTGCAAGACACCAAGGGAAGCGGCTATTAATGCATCATCCTGACACGCAGGCAGCAGCCAAAGGTGACTCAGGATTGCGAAAACTTGAATATGAGGCCTGTGTTCAGTGCATGCAAAGCAAAACCTGTCGCTCCTGATTCGAGGGTATCGTAAGTGAGAGACCCAGAGACACTAGCCCATGCCCAAAATAAACACAGTCTGGAGCAAGAAGACCCTGTCTGGTGGGGACAGAGCCCGGCCCTCCTAATGGCCCCAGGGCAGTTTTCATCCCTGAGGCTTGCATCTGCTGTCCTCAGGTCGGGCTCAAGGCACCTTCCCAGTTTCCACGTGAGACTGCGTGGGACAGACACCAACCACAACTGCTGTTAGGTGTCTCAGAGGAGAGTGTGCATTCTTGACCCTGATAACCACCCTGCATGGAGCTCAAGTGAGTGAGCGGCCTCCAGCTGCTGAGTAAGGAAGGATTTGCTATGATCCAGAACACTGAAAGGCCCAAACACCCATCCTGCCCATGTCCCAACAGGACTCCCCATCTGCCCAGGGGGCACAGGGCTTGTCTGCAGCCATCTGCTCTAGGGAAGTGGCAGCTATGTGTAATAAAGGATTTTCAAACAGCACAAAGGCCCTCTGAGCCTAGAACTTTGCAGCTAATTTGCTACTACAGGACTTCAAGATGTGTGCGAAGTTGGGGTGACCCGCAGGACAGTCTGACTGGCTGAAGCTCCCTCCCTGCAGGAGTCATGACCTTGCAGACCACGTGCCACACCTGGAACAGAGCTCCCTGCCCTGCTATGCTGTATGCCAGTCGCCCATGTGTTTCTGGGCATCTGAACTCCATGCTGAAAAGTCTCCCATGTTCACTAAATGGAAGAGAAAATGCTTCCCCACAATCTGTACCATTTTATTTGAGCACTCAAATCGGTGACCTCACTTGTGCTGTTTTTCAAAAGACGGTGGGGATGGTGGGGTTGGCAGGGGGGGTGCCGTAGAGCAGCTCTGTCTCTGTTCCAACTTTTGAGACCAGGCACGAGCCATGTCTGCTGGAGCCCATGCTGACAAACGCCCAGCAGACGAGCCAGGCTCGAACCCCGCAGGACAGCACTCCGGTGTGAAGATGCAGGGCTGCCCTCAGCCTCAGCACTAATCCTCCCCACAGCGACACTGCAACTGAAAACTAGTCTTTCTAGCTCGAGAAGTTGTTTTTTTTGTTTGTTTGTTTGTTTTTGTGCATACAGAACTGGGGTACAGGGCAGAGGCTCAGGGGTAGCGAGAGGCTTCACCAGAGACAGAGTGGGGAACAGAACAGGCAGATCGACAAAGTACACTGCTGAGGGGAGCAGCGGATGGGTCAGGAGAGGTCTGCCGCGCCATATGGTCACCTCCAGGGTAGGCGGGAATCGAACTCATTTGGAATTGGCTTTAGCTTCTCAGTGTTGTGCTTTAACCTGCTGCGCCACCAGGGAGGGCCTAGCTCGAGAAGATTTTTGAGGATTTGTTAACTTTTTCTTCAGTGAGGATGCATAACAGCTATATGGAATAAAAAACAGACCTGAGTGCCTCTCATACAGTAGAGGATGCTCTCCCTAGAAAGGTTTTGTTCACTGGAGAGAGGCAAATGGGACAGGCCAGCTGGAACACCTCAAGAAGCAAATAGCCCAAAGACCAGTGAGGATAGTTTAAATGTCACCAGAAGCTTCCACACACAAGAGACAGAGTAAGCCATACCATCCACTTCTTTCAACAAGGTTTGCCAACCTCACTGTTAACAGGAAGTTTCATCTGAGATATTGTCTTCTAGAAGTTTCCATAGCCATTCACTTTTACTCCCATGAGCAGATGCTTGCTGTTTCACTCTTATGAGTATTTGAGTGGTTTTGTGTTATTAAGCAAAATCTAAAAAACACAGTCACTTTTCATTTCTTCAGACTCAGCCCAATACTGCTCATTAATAAAAATTCTTATTCTGCATCAGGCCTTACATAGATCATCTCATCAGATCCTCACCACAGTCACCTGAGTAGACTTTAGTATCATCTCCAGGTTACACATGAGGAAACAGAGGCCTAGAGAACTTAAGAATGTACAGAAGCCATCCAGGTCAGTGACTGACTATGCATCAACCTCCTCGGGATTTCTCAGTGTCCACTGATTGTCCACAGACACGGAGGACACAGGGTTTGTAAAAACTTCCTAACATTCCAGAGGATGAGATGTTAGCTTTACTGTGGGGCACTGAAACCATGTTTGGTTTCCCTCAGCCACAGATAACACCGGCTGACAGCCCTGAGTGGTTACCTGAAGGGTCCATGCATCTTTGCAAAACTCATTGTCACACCTGTCATTTTTGCCCCAGGAGAATGCCGAAGCTGACAGAAAGCAGACACTCCCCCTCACACCTCCACTCCTTCCAGCTTGGCCCTGCCACCAGCTGCCCAACAACCACATAGCGGGGGTGAGGAGTCAGGAGTCAGAACCTGAGGGATTTACCCATGTCGTGTTGGGAAAGAGGGCAAGTTGTCAAAAGTCCTTAAAATCACAACTTTCCAATGTTCAGTGTCTACAAAATTTTGTTGTAACAGGAGCTCTAATGAAATGCTGGTGTCAACCAGTCACTCAATCAATCTGGATGGCACTTTGGCTCCGTAATCTACACCCAGTCACCTACGGTCCCATTTATGTGAAGAGGTAGGAAGGAAATAGTCCACGATCACTTGAGAGAGTTACATGTGAAGCTGTGTGAGCCACACACTTATTATTAGAGTGGGAAAAACTGGGAACACATGTTCAAAAAGAGAGACATGGGCAAATAAGCCCTCTCAATGGGATACTCTGCAGCCAGCAAATGGAAATCCTGAAAACTGCATAGCATCATGGGAAACTTTAGTAGCTAATGGGAAAAGCAGAACAAAATCTGTCTCTGCTATGGTTAAACTATAAAGTAAAAAGCATATGTGTGTATGAACAAGAGTTGGAAGGATACCTGGAAAATTTCAGACGCTTCATTTTTGTAGGATGACTATCCTGTTTGGTTTTATTAGTGTTACTGTAATATTAATCATGCAGTGACAAAAAAGGAAGCAAAAAAAAAAAATTTTGACCTAACTACAATGAAATCCCACAAAACTGGCATGGCCTGGATCTGGTGCTATTTGCAAGACAGGCTGCCAAGGGCCAGATCCCTGCTTCCTGCAGCACCATAAGTGATGGCATTTGATAAGCACCTTGATTTTGAGGGAATGTCTCTCTCCAAAGCAGAGCTGAGTTGTCAGCTCAAAGCAAAGAAGGGAATGCTCCCTCTCCAAAGCACCTCTACTGGAGCATATCAGTCCCCTGGTCTTACTCTTGTGCTGAGAACAGATGAATTGCAGCAGTATCCCCCCAAATATCCACTTCTACCTGACAAGGACTCTTGGTTGGGTGAAGATGGGAGGACTGAATAGGAAAATATGGGGTGTTAGCATCACTAGGCCTTTTTGGGAAAGCAATTTTTTAAGAAACAGATATTTTAGTTCTACAGGCTCCACATAATCCTACCACTTCTGGGAATTTGTCCTATGGCAACAACCTAGAAATCAGAGAAGAGAAATAATACAGAAAGGTTGCCTCTCAGGCATTACTTATATTGAAGTCAGAAACGAATGAGCAAGCTTAGGGAACTGACTCATACAAATGACATCGTCACTAAAATGAGATCTACGTCAGATTTGCAAAATCCAAGGGAATGTTAAGTGAGAAAAGGAGAAACACTCAGTGTTCATACGTGGTCACTACAGGTCATGAGTCGTGCAATTTGTCTCCTTCTCTTCTATATTATCCCCTATCTTAAGTGCAAAGAACCCATACTACTTTTATAAGAAAACAGACTTTATATGGCAAGTTAAAAACACAATCCAACATGCATGGAAATTCTTTTAGACAGTGTCTTTTCTGGCCCTACCTAGTGGCCCAGTGGGTTAAAGCACAGCACCGCGAAGCTGGCCATGGCAGCTTGGGGGCAAATTCCATCCCCACCTCGGAGGTGACCCACATGGTGCAGCAGACCTCTCCTGTCTCGCTTGCCGCTCCCCTCAGCAGTACTTTGTCAGTCAGCCTGTTTTGTGCCCCACTCTATCTCTGGTGAATCCTCTCACCACCCTGTACCTCTGCCCTGCACCTCAGTTCTCTATGCATAAATAAATAAATCTTTAAAAAACTAAAAAGAAATGTCTTCTCTGGGCCTCCCCGGTGGCACAAGGAGTTAAGACGCAGCACTGGAAAGCTATCAGTAGCCACGGCAGCACAAGTTCAATCCCTGGCCAGGAAGCTGACCCACATGGTGCTGCAGACCTCTCCTGTCTCGCTCACTGCTCCTCTCAGCAGTTTATTTCAATCAATGAGCCTATTCTATCTCCTACTCTGTTTCTGGTGAATCCTCTCACCTCCACATCTCACTTTACACCCCAGCTTTTGTATGCACAAATAAATAGAATAAATCTTAAAAAAGAAAATGTCTTTCCTTAAAGTATTACACTGCATTCCTCTGCTTCAACAAGAAACAACTAAGGACTGAGGCTAAAAACATAAACAACAATGGCCATGAGATCAAATCAAAAAAGATTACTGAGCAGAACAGACCATTAATACCTGTGGCTTGAGCTGTCAACTCTGCTAATTCTTGAATCTAGGCTATAACGTTATAAACACAGCAGTGTCACACCTCTATTTTCTACTAAATGATTATCTCTAGGGAGAACCACCCTTAAAAAAACACTTAGAGTTATCATTACATTTCATGTATTATTTAAAAAGAAAGTATGCTTAAAAATGAAAAACGATTTTTATCTGAAAACTAGGGTTGTTATGGTTCCTTACTGCAATCAACTAATTCATTAATCTGTTACTTCAATATTTATTGGAAAAATAAGGAAACACCTTTTGTGATAAGAGGATGTGAGACTGAAGAACAGGCCCCAGAGGTGTGTGTGTCCCCTGCTGACTGCCCCGGATGAGTAACCAGCTCATCACAGTGACAGAATCATCACAGTGGCGCCCAGGCCTGGGGCCCCACCTGCTGTTCAGGAGTTCTTGTCAGCCCAAGAACCAGCACCCCTGTCTCAGGCGCTGTCTGTAGAGCAGGATGAGAGGACCCTGCAGGGCTCAGCTGTACCAGCACAAATGCGCTGAAGTACTTGTTTCACTTGTTCAACATTCTTCTGTAATGATATTGATATATTGATATGAATATAAAAACAATTCATCCCAAATTTTTAAAATTCTAAATATAGGCCCTCCCTGGTGGCGCAGTGGGCTAAAGAAAGCACAGCACTAAGAAGCTAAAAGCCACTTCAGCATGAGTTTGGTCCTCACCCTGGAGGTGATCCACACGGCGCAGCAGACCTCTCCTAACCCGCCCGCTGCTCCCCTCAGCAGTGTACTTTGTCGATCTGTCTGTTCCTACTCCCCCCTCTGTCTTGGTAGAAGCCTCTGGCCTGTACCCAGTCTGTATGCATAAATAAATAAATCTTTTAAAAAACGAAAAAAAATTCTAAATATATTTTAAAAGGTACAACAAAAAGTTGAACCAAATCAATCAGAGAAGACTTGTGTTTGCAGCCTAATATCCTAGGTCAAGTGCATGGGTGGGCTACTTGACTGTGAAGCCTGCAACACATGGCCACATTCCTCGGCCATCAGGCACATACGGGAGGACAGGCTGCCACTTTAACATAGGAAGCAACAAGCTCTGCAGGCTCCAGAGACTCCCTGAAACAATCTGGGGGCTGTGAGTTCATCTCTGATGTGGAACCACTGGTCACAAAACTGCCCCAGGCTATCTGGGACTAGACCTTTCAAACATGTCCACCCAGGGAAAGGGCCAGCTGCTGAAAAACAAAGCCCATTCTCCTTTGGTGAGGAAAACCAAAATACACAAAAATAGAGTGGCAGAAAGACAACAAAGTATATGACTTTTAAAGTTCCCAGGCATTTTGCTGTGTGCGATGCATCTGGTGTTCATAATCAGTGGTTGGGGAAAGACTTCTTTTTTTAAAGATTTATTTATTTATGCATATAAGAACTGGGCTACAGGCCATAGGTGTGGGCGGTGAGAGGATTCGCCAGAGACAGAGAGAGGAGCAGAACAGGCAGATCGACTGAAATACACTGCTGAGGGGAGCAGCAGACAGGACTACTATTATTATTATTGTGAGATCTGCATGGCTACGTGATCTGCCAGAGATCAAAAGTCTGAGTCGTAGACCCTGAACTTGAACCCGGGACTGACAAGAGTCTGCACTTGTTATTTTATAGCTCTCCATTCTAACACACTTGGGCAAATTCTTGTTACCTTGTTCTGGGAACAGATAATTTATCTTTCAAAGATAGTTTAAAAGGATTTCAACACTAAAGCATGCCTTTTGAAACCAGAGAGATTTATTTTACCTGGCTAACAGATAGAGTGATACATAGTTTTATAGAGAAAAACTACATGGACGATTATTGCAACCACAAAGGCCGTAAGAAGAAAATACCTATGTACTACATACACCAAATATAAAGTACACTTCGGAAATAAGGTAGAGAATGGAGGTATTTCTCATCCAATCCTTCTCCAGACTCAGAAGCCCCCTCCTTAACATTTTTGAGAGTAAACTTTTACTTTGTATTAAAGAATGAATGATTTCCAATGAAGGAAACTCAGGGTTTCAAAGTTAGCAAACCCCACTATCTTCTCCAACTGTGTCCCTTCCTCATATCCACAGTCTCATAGCCCTATGATCTTTGACTTATCTACAACCTTATAAAACTCGGGTTATGATCTTGGCATCCAGCACTACAAGTAATATGACCTGACACTAACTGATTATGGCAATGTTTCAGAAAACAAGGTTAATATACAAAAGTTGATCATTGTCCAGCAGAGAATAAGGGGACTTTGAAATAAAAAATACAATACCATTTATATATATTAGTACCCCTGAACATGAAAGACTTAGACATAAATCTAATAGAACATGTATAAGCTCTATATACAGAAAAATTGCAAACTTCCAATGATGAAACCAAAGGAAGAAAAACACAAACTCCCATAATGAGGCCAAAAGTAAATGAATGGAGAAATATTCCAATTCCAATGGATAGGAAAATTTAATATAGTCAAAATGCTGGTTCTTTCCAACTTGATCCATAGAGTCCATGCAATCCTAATACAAATTTCAGCAAGTAACTTTGTGGAAGACAGAAGCTGATTCTAAAGTTTAAAGGCAGAGGCAAAAAGATCCAGAACACTCAACACAATATTGAAGGATAAGAACGAAGTTGGAGAACTGATACTCCTGGGATTCAAGACTGACTAAAAGCCACAGTAATCAAGACAGCATAGTAAAGGTGAAATAATAGACGCATAGCTTAAAAGACAAATAATAGTACATAATAGAGGCCAGCAACAGTCAACGGATGTTTGACAACGGAACAAAAGCAATTCAGCGGGACAAATATAGTGTTGTGGACAGAAGGTGGTGGAACAACTTCCTCAAAAATTAACCCAAAACTGTATTACAGACCTAACTGTAAAGATGCAAAATTATAATACTCCTATGAGAGAACACAGGAGAAAACCTAGATTACCTGGGGTTTGATGATAACCTTTAGACACAATCTAAAAGACACAAGCAAGGAAAGAAAGAGCTGACAAGGTGTCAAGTCTCAGCACTAATTCTTCTGAGATCCGAGCTTGCTCCCCTACCAGGAGTGGACCCCATTGGTAGCAGACCTCTCGTCTCAACTGCTGCTCCCTGTTCCCCTTGGCAGTGTTTCAGTGGATCTGCCTGCTCTGTTCCCCACTCTGTTTCTGGTGAATACTCTCACTCACCCTCCCCCCCACCTCTAGCCTACACCCCAGTTCTTGTCTGCATAAACAAATAAATCTTTAACAACAACAAAAACCGGACACATAGCTATCTCTAAAAGCTGTATTCACCATTGCCAAAACTTAGAGGTAACCAAAAGCACTTCAGGAAATGAATGAATAAGTAAGTTGACACATCTAGATAACAGAATACTTTGAAAATTAAAAAAAAAAAAGAAATGAGCTCTTGAAGTCATGAAAACACATGAAGGAAACTTAATTCATATCATTACATGAAATAAGCCAATCTAAAAATGTATGATAGCATGCATTTTTCCAACTATGTGACAAGCTGGAAAAGACAAAACTATGGAGGAAATAAACAAAAGTAGTGGTTGCCAGAAGTTGGGAGGTTGGAAGGAAAGACTAGGTGGAGCATAGGAGACTTTTAGGGCTGTGAAATGACTCTGTTAAGGCTCAAATGGCAGATAAATGCCTTTATAGGTACGTCCAAACCCATACAATGTGGAACACCAAGAGCGACCCCTCAGTTAATCTGGGGAGGCTGATGTCAATGTCAGCTTATTGGTCGTGACTAATATCCTGGTGGGGGGTGGTGATGATGGGGGGTGGTGAAGTTGTGTTTAGGTGGGCAGGGGTACAGAGGAAGAACTTTCCACATCCTCCTGTCTCACTACGTTTTCCTCCAAACTAAGCTTGACATTTATTCCACTGAACTTCTTGGAGTCAAAGGGATATTCCCAGCCTGGGCAGACAAGGTTCTCACTCCATCAGACATTTAGTGCCCCATCCAGTCCTGGGGTTGTTTTCCAGAAGATTTTAACACAAAAGGAGGAACAGAAACAGGAGGATATGGAGGTGAGAAGAGACTCTGTCCCACTCCATCTGAACACAAGTTTGGAGAAAGAATCAAGGAGACTCACCTGCTCCCTGCTTCAGCAGCTCAGCTGCTGAATTGGCCGACGTTTGGGGTGAACTTTCAACTATCTCCTCCAATGGATCTAGAGGAAGGAGCGAGAAAACACAGCAATGAGTCCACCAGGCCTGAGAGAAGCAGCAGGACAATGAGAAACAACTGTGGCGTCTGCGCAGAGGGCAGCCCACACAGTGTGCAGGCTGGGACCTCCTCCGGGGGCCACAGTCCAGTCCACACTCAGAGAAAGTTAGGATGACATGGCCCCATGAAATATCTTACTGATTTATGAATACAATAAAGTAGTGTGAAATTGAGACTTCCGAGGAAGCCGGGAAAAACTGTCAAGTTATACTGTTATGCTATGGGGTGGATTTTTCTTACAGATGTTTTCAAACAAATGTAATCTAGCATCTAAGTTTAGCAATTCCAACACCTTGCTGATCGTATAGAATCATAAAATGAGCCTATAAACGACCTTAAAAGTCTTGGTCCAGAATTTTGTATTCTGAGCTAAAGAATCTTTGCTCCACGGGAACTTTTCACCAAAGTCTCTGACATAAAGGTGTGACTAGGTCAGTAGTGAAGAACATGACAGACTCTGTTTAAAGTTCGCCACCGCGCAGCGGGTTAAAGCACAGCACTAAGAGACTAAAGCCACTTCCTCATGAGTTCGATCCCCGCCTGCCCTGGAGGTGACCACATGGCGTGGCAGACCTCTCCTGACCCGCCAGCTGCTCCCCTCAGCAGTGTACTTCGTCGATCTGCCTGTTCTGCTCCCCACTCTGTCTCTGGTGAATCCTCTCACCCTCCGCATCTCTGGCTTGTACCCCAGTTCTATATGAATAAATAAATAAATCCTTAAAAAAGTTCGCCACCACCATTTTATGCTTCAGTCACTGTTTCCCGTACAGGGATGGAGTTTCCCATAACAAATATGGAGGGTGGCAAGGGTCAACTAATCAGGCAGTGACCCCTGTTGCACCTGAGTCCCCGCCCCAGGGACCTTATAAGAACTCTGCCTCACAATGCTCTGGGCCCTTCCTACCACCCAGGTGCCACTGGTATGCAGTTGGGTCCGAGCTCGAGCTTGCAATAAAGTTTCCTCTTGTCTTTACAGTGGTGTGGCTGGCTTGTTCAGGTAGCATGCCCCGCTCCAGCACAAGAAGCAGCAGGACTGCCCCTCCTCTCTCTGATTTGGGGAAATCCTTCCTCAAGGTTTGTCCACAGAGTACCCGATAGAAAAAAATCTTGCAGTCTTATTCTCTCCAGTAGATCCCCAGCTGTGGTGTGCCCAACACACGCAGGTGATCCCACCTGGAGAGCCAGGATAGCCTGAGGACCCAGCAGCATACCTCGATCTGGAATGAGCAGTTTGCAGGGCAAAGCCAAGGGTGTGATGGAATGCTGACACACCAGAGCCGTCAGGCTCCCTGCAAAACAGATGAACAGCAAGCAAGCGTTAGCATGGCTCTAAATCCTGAGCTGCTCAGTTTACCCTTTGAAAGGCAGCTCCTCCAGGAGAGGACGACCCTTGTTGTTGGACATGGTGCAAAATGAAGCCACAAATTCAGCAAAACAACTAAGGGGCAGGTAAAAACTGCAGGTGATTCTTAGCAGAGACACGTCATTTCCAAGAAGTAGAGAATAAAACACACAGGTTGCTGAATCTGAAATTAGGAGGTCTGACAGCAAGACAGCTCTGAGTCTCGCCACACAGAAGTCTCTAAGGTGCTTCTAAAGGATCGCAGCAATGCAATGTGCCACAGGCCTGTGCCTCACCTGGGGAATTCTGCAGCCTGCAGGTAGGCCTGCGAGGGTGGGTAGACTCAATTTACAGGGGAGGGAGCACATGCTGTCTGAGCCCTAATCCCTTAGGGAGGCGAATGAGTCAGGTTCCAACCTTGTCAACACCCATCTGCCTGCCAGAAAAGGATTTTGTTGACACCAGGCTCAGCGCAGTGGTTTGAGATGTTTTTCTGAGTAATTTCAAAATCACTGGTAGGTTGTGGGCTGAGATGAGTCTCAAAGTAGGGGACTGTGCGTAAACGCCAGGGATGAAGCAGTGCCACCGGGGGCGATCGCCAGACTCTCAGGGAGCAGCTTGGGTGTGCACAATACCAAGGGCAGGCTCTGGCCACTCACCGAAATAGGGTTCATTGGAGCAGCCTTTCAACCGTACTCCCTTTGGGGTACACTCGATCAGGAAGTGCCGAACAAGTTCACTGGCCAAATCTCCAACTGTATAAGAGATTTAGAAGACAGAAAAAAAACATTAAATAAGTCCATGGATAAAGGAGAATAGGGAAGGGGAGGACACAGAGGGAGAGGCGCTGTGCTGCAAGGCCCCTCTGGAACAGGAATCTGGCTGCTGCAACAGGTGAGCTGCCACAGACCTCCCCAGGAATGGCAGCAGGGCACAAGGCAGTCAGCCGGGCACAGGACTTGTCTGCGGGTCAGGGAGCCCTTGGGAAGAATCTCAGTCATTCTGCAGGTATCCCAGGGAAGGGATACTTTTCTTAGCTACTAAGAAAGTAGCTAAGAAAGGAACACCGGCCTCCACCTCCTTCAGAGAACAGAGTTTGAAAGACATGGGCTCTCAGGATGCCCAAGTCTGAATCACAAAGAGCTGGAGGATGCCAGTGTCTGAGTAAGACTTAGCCAGGACCTAGCGCACACCCCGCTCCGGGCATCACACCCCAGGCTGCAAAGCAGCCTTCCAGGACCTGCTACTACCCTGCACAGCTGTGGCCCAGTCACCCCGGAACCCAAAGAGAACTGCATCACAGGAAACCACTGATGGCAGGAAAGTACAAACAACATAAGAGAAGACAAATTAGTCGTAACGAACCAGCAGCCTTTTAGCCAAAGCTGCATCTCGTCCTCCACCCCACCCCCTCCACGGGTCTGGCCAGCCATGACTTCTAACAATCCTGGTGCTGGAAATCTCCTGACACAGATCCTCTGCAGTTTGGTTTGGCCCCACACCTTACCCAGAGTAGGCTCTCCAGTAATGTTTATATAGAACAAATACAAAGCATTTCACAGGAGCAGTAAAATTTGCAAAAAAGAAATTGACTGGATTCTATAAAAGGCTGTCCTGAACAAAAATGGGAAGCGAGCACTTTGCTGTTCAGTTGTGGGAGAATCACTGCTGCCCTCACACTTCAGGGAAACAGAGTGCGGTCTGGACGCAGGTGGTGACAGTGACCCAGGGCTTTAGGGCAGACCCTGCCCCAGTTCCCGACCACAGAGAGGGTGGTGGCTCACCGGATTCTTTCCTGATTCAGTCAGCCCCCTTTCAAATCTGTGCTCAAACTGTGAACTCCAAATCCCTTATCCAGGAAACCAGATAAGACCAGCCATCAGAGGCCTCACTGTCATGTTTGCTGAAACCTGCTTTTCCAATAACCCTTCTTTTGCTACCTTCCTCTTAAGATTTGTGAGAGCCCACCACAGAGGGAGAAGCCTGTGGGGCTTAGGAAAAGTAGTACATCACCAATTGTATCCCCCAAAAGATTATATATTAAAGAAATATTCAAGAGAATCCTAAGAGCCTAAGGGCGACCATACAGTTCTCCACTCACTCACATCCGGGCCTGTCTCCAGACACATCCATGTCTCCATCCTAAGACTTTTCTTTGCTGTAACCATCACTTACCATGTCTTCAAATAAAGAGGAAGGTCTTCATCTTCCCTCATCAGACAGATTCAGCTCTTCACCCACAAAAGCCCCTTTCCACTCAAAAAATGAGTTGAACGTTTAGTTGCTTTTCTCACACTGGAATTCTGGACCCATCTCTGAAAGCTTAACCATTCTCCCTGTTCTACACCAAGACTTTTCTTCCAGGCAGTACCCAGAGAATTGAGATCCGAGCCTCCTTCCAACCTCACCCCTGTCCCTTCCATTCAGACGACTACGAGTGAACAAAACGAGCATCTGTTTCCCGAAAACCCCACAGCATGCCTGAGGCTGGACCCCTTGAAAACCAAATCTCATGTTCCTCAAGGGTCATCTCCTGGGCGGTGGTGACACAGTCATGCTTAGTTGTACATGTAGGCATGGCAAGCTTTTCTGTGTGTGCTTCTGTTTTATGACATAAAGCATAAGAGTCAGTAGAAGGTTTGACTGTATCTATGCATGATTCAGCTAGTGTTTGGCCTGGTATCAGAGCGCTGGAACAGGAGGATGAGGAGAAAGGGCCTGCCCTTTTCCTTGAGAAGCAATGATGGAAGGATCCAGGCTTAACTCCAGAATAATTTTTAGACCGTCAAAGTACGTATATAGAGTACCTTTCATGTAAGGAAAAAAACGCAAACTGCATATTTGCATGCACTGCTTGGGCAGCCAGCAAGAACACATAGCCACATAGCAGGGGGAGGAAAGCTAAATTTCATAGACAGGGTGCCCTGCAGGCTGCCCAGTAAATTAAGAGTGAATAGGTTACCTAGTCAAAGCAATAAAGATGAAATTTACAAATAATAAATATTTAGCCTTGAACAGGGACATTTACTACAATACACCTGGGAAACTAAATTCTAAGAAAAAATCCTGAAAATTGTGGAAAGTCATCTGCTATCTCATCAGCATTAAACACAAGCTCCCAGGTGTCCTGCCCAGATTAATTCCTACCTTTCTTGCTCAGCTGCAGGACCGAAGGAGGCGGGGTGGCCACCTTCATGGCCAGGCCGTAAGCGCCTCGAAAGGAGTGGCTGTCTCTGACGATGAATGAGCCTGGCTCTTTGTCCTTCAGCATGGCGATGGCTGCAGAAAGGGAAGAGAGGGGTTGAAGGTCTGCTGGAGCCACAACCATCTGTTTCTCCTACTTCCACCTGCAAACAGGGAATCTTCTCCCTCCTTTTGCAAGCCAGGTCAATGGGAGCTGGCTGGGGTCCCCCAGTTAACTGGAGGGGTCCCCCAGCTAGCTGGAGGAATCACATGGGATAAAGTGTAGTTGATGTTGAGCCCATGCAAGTGAAGAGCCTGGGGAGGTCTGTGAAGTGGGGGTAGGCAGCTGACTGGGAAGCACACAGATGCAGGAAGGGTCCCTTCAGGTCTTAAAGGTGCCCTGCACTCATGTATGCTTCTAAACACACAGCACCCGTGGAGCACAAACGATGGCCCCGCCTCACCAGAAAACCAAGGCCCTTTCACTACACACCCAACAGGAAGTGTGGGGGCACCTCACCTGCCACCAAAGCTTCTGAATATTTAATACAAATTCCAATATTCATCCAATGAAATGGCAACATTGTAGGTGTAGGTGGCCCTCCCACCAGTGGCTGATATGGTCAGCTGTCTCCAGCTTGGACTGGACAGTGCTGTGAGCCTCTTGCATGTGGCTGCCATGATGAATCAGGACTGACAGGTGCACATCTTCTCCTCATCTTCCCTAGGTGAGGCTGGGGGCAGGTAGCCAATAATTGATGCTTAAAAATATCCTTTCCAAGCCCTCTCTGGTGGCGCAGTGGGTAAAGCACAGCACTAAGAAGCTAAAGCCACTTATACAAGAATTCGATCCCCGCCTGCCCCGGAGGTGACCACATGGCGCAGCAGACCTCTCCTGACCTGCCCGCTGCTCCCCTCAGCAGTATACTTCGTCAATCTGCCTGTTCTGCTCCCCACTGTCTCTGGTGATTCCTCTCATGCCCTGCACCTCTGATCTGTACTCCAGTTCTTGTATGCATAAATAAACAGATAAATAATTAAACAAGCAACCAAACAAATAAATAAAATGTGTGGCTGAGATTAAGCAGATGACACCATTCGCTCCTATCAGCAGCAAGTGCCTCCCACAAAGCTCCCCTCCATCATCCCTACAGCCTAGCGATGGCATCTCTGTCCTGCAAGGAATCACCCGAGTACACTGCAACTCTTGCACTGCTGACACAGGAACCAGTGTACAGTCCCAGAAAGGGTGGCCAGGCCGGCCCATCACTCCCAGCAGGGTAGGAGAATCACACAGAATCTCCCAGCACCCCTCAGCGTCCAGCTGGACAGGGCACCAAGGCTCTGAAGCTAATGGCCACAGCTGTGAGGTTTCTTGGGCCAGGGCAGGGAGGGGAGGAGAAGGGAGCAATGGTTGCACCAGGGTCCTCAATGTGCCACAAAGGCCAATTCAGGGAATCAGAAGACTTGCCGGGCTCTGGGCTGCCCCCACCCGACCTAAGATAACAATAGGTTCATTGAGCTCATGGGAAAAAATGCACATTCTTACCATTTTTATTATCTACTTCATTGAAGTAAAGAATTTCAATGAGCACACTGTATGTTGTATACCGCTCTTAACTATTCATGTACAGGCATTTTCGAAAAATGACCCAAGGAAAGCACTGGATGTTTTTGTTCCAGAAGTTGAAGCAATGCGGCCCCGGGGTAGCAATGGGCTGTGTGTTGTCTGCCAGCGATGTATCACTGGCAGTGCTCTGAGTCATTCACCTCCCTTTTACTTTTGTTTTATTTATTTGTTTGTCTATTCATTCATTCATTCAGGCAAGAACTGGGGTGTAGACCAGAGATAGGGGGGTGGGGTTAGAGGGTGAGGGAAGAGGATTCACCAAAGACAGAGTAGGGAGCAGAACAGTCAGATTGACTGAAAGACACTGCTGAGGAGAGCAGTGAGTGAGATAGGAGAGGTCTGCTGTGCCATGTGGGTCCCCTCCCTGGCTGGGGATTGAGCTCATGCTGCAGTGGCTGCGATAGCTTCACTGTGCTGAGACTTAACCCCTTGTGCCACCAGAGAGGCCCCCACTTCCTTTCTCAGCCCAGGACCTAGCTAGGACCCCACAGAATCTCATTTCTGTGTACCTCCAGCCATTTCATGTCATCCCCTCAGAGGGAAATCCCAGAGTGACACCCTCCCTCTATCAAAGTCGCTTCCATAGAACAACTCTGCAGCCTCGTCACTGCAGAAGAATGGCAGCCCCAGCCATCAGAGACCAGCATGTGACCAGGATGCTGCGAATCCTGCTGAAGGAATAACTGCTATTCTCCTGTGTGTGGCCCAGGGACCCACCACTCAAACACTCCCTGCTCCTTCTCAGCTTCTATTCGTGGTCCAGTAAGAAGTGAGACATGTGAGAGGAAGCTAGTGAACTCCACAAGAGCTCCTGTCATTAAATATTGAAGACCTACATTTCCCCCATGTGGACAAAGGCAGGTGTGGCTGGGCAGCCCAGTTACACACTCTGTTTTCCCTCCCGGCCCTCCCCACCAGCCCAGGGCTGGTGACTAGCCAGGGAGATGGCAGGACTCCGGCCTCCTGTGTGGTTTCATTGGTTATGTGGTTATGTTGCACCTGGCAAAGCCTCCAGAAATTAAACCCTGCAAAGCCTGTACCTGAAGCCATGCCCACACCTGACCCGTTTCCTCATTAGAACACAGCTTTTTTTTATAAAATTCTGAAGCCCAGCATTTCCCTGGAGACATATGATCGACCTGAGACCTCTACTGGGCATGTGTGGTGGTGCAGACGCCCCCGCCACAGGGTGCAGCTACACACAGCACTGGAAGGCCGCATCCTGCCCACGCACCTTGCTCTCTGGAGATCTCCGCCTTGTACCAGAACTTGGATGTGTCTTGAACGAAGTTCACAGATAACTGCTTCTCACCTGCACTCTCTGCAAGACAGAATTCAAAACCAGTAAACTGTGAAGGTGTTTGGCTTACAACCTCTCACTGCCCAGGGAAGCTGAACCCGAAGCCCCTGGTAAGAGGGATAATCTGGGCAAAGCGCACCATCTTCTGAAAGGGGAAATGACTGGACCAGCGCAGAACAGACACATTCAGTGCTGTGCTCGGGGCTCTGCAACTCATTTCAAGGACACACAAAGACAACAAGCAGACAGCTGAGTGGCACCACTCAATGGATGCTGGTGTCTTATTATGTCTTATACATCTGAAATGTTTTATAAGCAAATTTCCAAAGAGTTAATTTAATATTTTTAAGTTACTTTCAAAGAATGATTCTTCGTGGAAGAAAAAAACAAAAGCCCCTTAGATGTCTGCATTTTCCCCACAGACATGAATCTAATGTGCTGAAATTGAGATAATGTAGTAAGAAGACTGAATGAGCACACTGCTTTCCAATTCTTAAAATGGGAAAGACACCTTGTTGGCTCTGGATTTCCCTCGAGGCCTTCAGTCTAGCATAGCAACTGCACTCCCATCAGGCCCAACTGTTAGTTCCGAGGACCCTTCCCTAGTGAGTGACACGAAGTGGCCTTCTCCCTGAAAGACACACCTACCTGGCGAGCGTGCCGCTGCCTCTGGGGTCTTGCAAAAGTCTGGCAGGACGTTTGGGAATGGGATGCTCATGGTGCTCCCACTGTGGGGGCTGGAGAAGCCACTGGAGGAGGGAGAGACTGACCCAAGAGAACGTTCTCCCTCCGAGGCCCGCTTCTTCTCAGGAAGAGGCGGCTGCCCAGGTAGGGTCAGGCCCTGGCCCTGGAGAACTGGACTCTGATGGCCGCTGTGTCCAGACGCTATTGTGAGAAAGTTGTGGGATAGGAAACCGTTGTCGACTGCAGCTGTCGTGGTCCTCGGTGTGCCGGGAGTCTGCGGTGGCATGTGGGAATTGGCCATCAGGGCCCCCGTGTCTTCTCCAGCGAGAAGGCCACTTCCTATGGGGGCAGTGCTGAAGTTGAGGAAGGCTTGGTTACTTTGGAGGCCCAGAACTTCTGGTTGTTCAGCCAAGGCCAGCTCATGGCTATGGAAAGAGTCCTGGAGCTCTGTGGACTGGAAATGGGGCCTCCCAGTGACATCTTTGCCAGGGCTGGAGAACTCGCTGGTGCCAAGCACACCTCCTGTTGGCCGGCTGTTCCCCAGTAAGACCAGAGTCTCTTTGGAGCTGGCCTCCACCCATGGGTGCTCAGCTGAAGCAGGGCTATTCAAAAGACAAGCCAATCATCAGAGAATGCCAAGTTCAAGAAGACACCTCAAATTAGCATTGGTTCTCCAGTATGGTGAAGCCTGGGATACAGACATAGGGGATAAGACTTGCCTTGCAGCATGTGGACCCATGGATGGCCCTGGGACCGAGGAGACTCCTTTCATGCTGGGGTTGTGAGCTTCCACCCTGCCCTCGGCCTGCCAAAGGTCCTTCCTTCCTTCAAGATAAGTTCAACTCTGTCCTATACTTTGAAGTCTCCCAGCCCCATGCCTACCACCCCGCTGGGGTCTGTGTACATAGGGGTTATGGATGTCCTCGCTGGCCAAGCCACACCAAGCACATGCATCAACCAGGCACCATTATGTGTAATTTACTGTTTGCTTCTTCTCACAGAATCAATGGCCTTCCCCAAGTAAAAACCCCACCCCCCCCTTTTTTTTTTCTTTCCTTGATGTCCAGTACAGATGTCTGATGCAGTCAGATTTCAATCAATGCTTTCTGAATAGATCAGTTGATAAAGGGCCGCCATCAATAATGAGCTAATACTTGTAAATTCCAAGGTTCACATTACTAGAACTACTCTACGTTTAAGAATACTAAAAGACAGTTAACAAACCACCAGCTCACACACACATATTTCATTAGCAGATGCTTTGGCTTGTGTGGTGCAGAGTCCTTAGTTAAAATGACTGCCCTATTTTTTAAGAGAAAGGAGACAGAAGTAAGGGACTTCACTGGAGACCAACATAAACACACACACATAAAACTTTAGGAAAGGCTGCCCAGCCTGGCAGGAAGAATGCCAGACTTTTGTGATACAGGAACTGGGGCTTTTCTCTCTGCCAGGAGTCCCTTCCCTCTGTCCCCCAGTCCCAAGAGAGATCTTGTGTTTCCTCCGTTGCCTACCTTTGTCCTCACACAAGTACAGATGCAGTATCACCAAGAGCATCCCAACCTGAGTCCTAGAAGAGCCCCCTCCTCGTGAGGCCACCAGGAACAGAAAGCTGTAATCCCCACCCCCCACCCCCGGTCCCTTTAGCTTCAGCTGGACACACATAGCTGGCCAAGTCAGGTTGCCTCAGTATTTCAGGGCTACCAAACTCGTATCCGTGTCCTGAGCCTACTAATGGTGACGGTATGCTCTGAGGAGGTTTTTAGGCTTCCTGTGGTCTCCTGGAGGAGCCTTCCATTTCTGGAACTCACATTCCAGAGGAGTGTGAGAGGAGCTCAGGTTAAGTTCAAAGGCGCCTGCCTACCTGTCTCCTTGCTGGCGGGGGCTGTTGCTGGAGACGGAGCAGGAGGGCGTGAATGCCCGCTGATAGGCGGATGCTGTTGGCATGTCTGCCCGCAGTGTGGTGGGTTTGGGTCCCGCGGGGCTCTCTGACATCCCCACAGCTTGACTGAGAACCTCAGGGCAGCCTCGTGGTTCTGAAGCAGGGAAACAAGAGCAGAGAAAGCTCAGCTGTAGGAACTGAGTGTTTGTTTTCTGTAACCCCTGGAAATACCTGTTGCTGAAAGAGGTGGTCGAGTGTACCAAGTGTGGGTCACCCTTACCACCACTTTTTTAAAACCAAGATACCTAACTTGAGCCCCAAGCTCATAGCTTTCAATATATCACCAGGAGCAGATAGGCCCTGTCACTGTGGAAGCCCATAGGTGGCGACAGGACACCCACCCCCGGAAGACGAACTTCTAATTCACTCCCTGCCCTGCTGAGGCAGCCATCCTGGGGTTAGGAAAAGCAGGGCCTTTCTGTGCACTCTGAACACCTGTAGGAGCTCCCTTCCATCACGTGCAGGCCCTCAATTTGTCCCAAGTTGTACCCGGACTTACCCTGGATTGTTTCCCAGGCAACAATCCCCATCAGGACCATCTCCAACACAGACTGCCCTGGAGAGCTGCCCCCACCCACGCCCCCATGTACAGATATCACTCTGGCCTAGGCCTCCTCCCAGGGGACAAAGAGACTGGGTGCCACACAACCCCCAAGCCCCAATCCTCTGCAGGATGCCCAAGGCACGCTGTTTCCCAACTCTCAACACCTCACTGATGTAATGTCCATTGTAGTTATGGTTCAGGATCTCCGTTATTGTTGGGTATTTTTAAGACCGAGTCTTTTTTTTTTTTTTTAAACTAAGTTTCAAAATTGGGACAAGTCTACCATGGCCACCAAAATGACACTATGAGAAAAACACTTAATTTCCTCCTTTAAACAAGGGAAAGTTGATAAGAGAATTAAAGATTCACAAGTTCCATGTCACTCATTATTCAGTTACAGGAAGGGAAGGCACTGAGGCAGTCATGGACCCATTTGAAAACATGTAGATTAGAGACTGAACATATGTCAGACGTCCATGTCAGGACTATGGAATCCTACAGTTTTGGGGTGAAAATGCAAAGAAAAACATCAAAATATAGGAGAATGATAACGTCTAACATATGTATCATTAGAGCCCACGAAAGCGTGAAGAAACTGAATGAGGCAGAAGCAACACTGGAAATATATTTACTGCGTACTTCCCAAAACAGAGTAAGAAAATCAAGTCACAGTTATAAAAATATCTATGAAACCTTAACAGGAAAAAACAATTTTTTAACTAAATAGTTATTTAATAGTAAAGCTTAAGAAATCAAAATCTAAAAATAGCACTTTGCCAAGTCCAGGAGGAGGACAAGAGCCAATTTCAATGCTAATGTTTTAAACACTTAATAAACTTTTCATTAAAGTGAAGTCCACGGCTAATGTTATACTTGTGCACGCCACACTGGGAACCCCGGGGGGACTACTGCCTCCTGCTTCCATCTGCAAGTGCTCCAAGATCGCCTCAGGGCTGTGCTGGGATAATGTCAGCGTGCACAGCAAATTCACATGACGCCTCTTGCTGTGACTAGCCTAGACATTCCTAGAGCAGAAGTATTCTTGCTCATGTATGTGACTGACTGCCCCTTACCCTATGTGACATTGATAGCAAATGTTATAAAGTGTCTACTGAATTAATTAGCTAACTGGAACATCTTCAAAGCTGGAATGGATAAACAGATGTTTGGTGTCCCAGGCCATCCTCTGCACCTTCACTTTTCTTCTTGGTAACATTATTTTCATATAAAGCATGTCATTCCATGCATAGCCCTTCCACTTGGAAAGTGAGAGTATGATCAGAATGATAAGATTCAAATTAGGATCACAACTAGAAGCATGGGAGGTGGCAGTCGGTGAGTTTCAGAGAGATCTGCAGGAAGAATGATTTGTTTGGGGAAAGCTGGAAGGCTTCCTGGAGGAAAAGTCATTTGATGGAAGATTGGAAGAATGGGTGGGATTCTGGTAAATCAAATGCCACAGATATAATAGTGTGCAGTCTACCATCCAGAAAGTTCTGTACCTGTAGTGTGGAAGCTGCCACCATTATCCACTCTGGACCCCAAATTTGCTGGCAACCAGGGGGAGGCCCAACATGCTCATGCTATGAGTTAATGAATGAGTTAGCAAAGGCTTAGAACACCATGAAGACATACAGCTTCAGGGCTGGCAATTAGGAGTAAGAGGGTGGAGGTGTAGCTGAAGCTCTCTCCCCAGGGCCCCATGCCAAAGGCAGCACAGAACTGAGAAATTAGAAAAACCTGATCAGCCAAATCAGGGGTGTTTGAGCATTAAATGAGTAAGGCATAAGAGAGCTGTCGCAGAGAGCTACAGGCAGCCACTACTTTCAAATCAGTGTCTCCCAGGTGATGACAGGGACTGCACATTCACAGAATCCCAATACCTCAAGGAGCTCAGGACTCCTACACCACTCCTGTGGTGCCTGAGATTTCCACCAAACAAGGGGAGACCCAAGGAAATTAAGATCCCACTTTGTTCCTGTTATCATTGCCTGCTACAGAAAACAGCAAGTGCAGCGATTCCCAAGCAAGTGGCTTTGTTTCTAATTCAGTTGTTGCCAGCTGTAGGGCATGTGGCTGGGTTTATTCCCTCTGGGACGGAGCAGTCCTTTGCCCTAAGCCACAGGACTTAACCCTGTATCTGGAAAAGGGGCTGGGAAGGACACAAGAGGGACACTCCTCCCATAGAGCCTGGCCCTTCCATGTGCTCAGGGATTCAGGCAGCTAAACCAGAGCCCTCACTGGAGACCGCTGCAGTTCACTGGGGAGAGACCGCAGGGTAATGGCTCTGTCACTGCTGGGGATGGAAAGCGCAGGCAGGAGGACATCTCCAGAGCTGTAGAAGGATTTGGAAATATTAGTTCAAAAACAACAACTTGGGGTTGAGTCAGACTCACAGATGGGAACCCCTTCTTCAGGGGTTAGCCTCACCTCACCCGTAGAATGTGCTGGCCATCAGAGCAGGGAGCATTTGTTGTCCTTTTCTACCTACTAGCACGTTTGCTGTTCATGTTTGAACTAGAGGTAAAATTTCAGAAAGGAACTATCTTTGGCCCAAAGAGAGATGGGC